GTTAGAAATTTTATTTTAATTTTTAAAGCAAATGAATATGTCTGTAAGCATATAAAACATAAGTTTAAATAATGCAGTAAAATTTTCAACCTGTTTACAATAAAGGCCATTTTAGTTTAGTTCCTTGTTGATCTTTTATCTAACCGTTTTGCACATTTTTAGTTACTCTTAAACGGAAGCAATATAAATAATAAGTACAAGCAGAGAGGATTTATCATGAAAACATACTTAGCAAATGGTCCAACTTTTCGCTTAAGATAAGTTTTTAAGTTAGTATTCTCATATAAATTATTTTGGACACTACATTTAATTTTAAATTTATTTTGGTGCCATGCAGTAATCGGATATACCCTCCAAAGTTAACAAACATGTTCGGTAAAACTTAAAATAACAAAGAACTTTACGTACATTTATTGACCTATATTATCCCAACCGGTACTTATTTTTATCTAGAAACGAGAAGGTATGAGTTATGATACATCCATTAAAATCTCAAGACCATAAATTAAAGATATACCCCTTTAAATAAGAAATATAGCTTAAAACTACCGGCAGTTCATATGATCACGTTTTGGCAAAGACGTACGACGACAAATAAATGAATTGCTATTTTCATCGGGGAATTTTTTGCAAGATTAAGGTCTAAATATTAGGTATACGTCCTTCAGTTGAAGTATGTAGATATAAGTATTATTAACAAGGTCAACAAAGAATTTAAATGCGTATCAGAGTATTTAACGAATTTGGGTTGTATTTCAAACAAAATGAGATTTAAGGGCCCCATATTCTTTAAATAGTGTTTTCCGCAAAGACAAATAATTTAAAACATTTAATAACTGAATAATCTAAAGCTTATCAAATAATAGGAATGTTATGTCATGCCACCTGAGTATTTTCAAAGACGCCGCAGTAAAACGAATAAACAGGTGCAAAAAACGATCAAACCATCAAGGTTTTAGGTACCGAAATCTACGAAAATACTAACTTTTTTATATATAACTCCACATGTAAATATTCTTATAACATTTACTTGCTTAGTCCTACATATAAAATTGTTTACTTTTATTTATAAGTACGTGAAAATAATTCTTAAAATGTGGGGTTAGAATAACAGCAAACGCATGTTTTACAAACGCTTTTTTTTAGTTATTATTTTATTTGGGTAAATTTAAATGGTAACAATGAATAAACAAAACATCAAGGATTTTATTTTTGTGATTACTTTTGTTCTACACGTTTTACTTTTCAAGATTTCGGTACCTAAAAATGCCTGAAATTTCACCATTTCTCGGCCAGGAATATGGCCACCTTAACAAGTTGAATTTGAATGAAAAGAAAAGGTCAATTTTAAATAATTTTGAATACGATTGGGAAATATAGAAAGTATAAATCAGAAGCTAATAATGCTCCTATTTATGTTGCTATTTATTAACATAAATAAAAACATTAAAACAATTGAAAATGAAATAAATTCTTTATGAACTAACTTATATACCTTTTCTTTTATAGTTATTTTCATTCTTCTTAAGATCTAGTCTCCTAGTAAACAGTTGGCGTAAAGCTCAACAACGGCATTCTCGGTGGCGGGACGAAGAAACATTGTCAGTGGCAGTATTTTCAAATTTATACGTATATTTAAATTTTTTACACTCGACGCAAGATAAAGGTTTCCAACCTAAAAGGCATACTACTTTTAAAGGGGCGAGCCGGTAAACTATTAGTAGGAATTTTGGGAGGCATCAATAATTAGGGGCGCGTCGTATTTTTTTTTTGTGTAAGCACGACACAACAAAAAATTGCAGGCCTGAAGTATATGCATTATAAAAAGAGAAAAATATACAGGTTTTGAAATTATTTTGTCTTGCCACATTATTTTTCTTGTCCATGAGAAAATTAATATTTTGAAATAAGAATTTGTGTCATATTCTGCAGAAAGTAGGTAGGTAGGTCATGAAGCCAACAATATAATAAAATATTGTAAACTACAGTTTTATTATAACTTATACAGTTTCGGCAGGAAAGCGAAATATTTTAAGGACGTGTTCAAGAAGTGAAAATAAGTAAATAAGCTCATGACATTATGGGTCCGGAAATGTTTCCTTTCTGAGATAGACGTCGAAAGAAATTTAAAATCCGTTTTTTTCTAAATATCTCGAAAACGATTTAAGATATTACACTGCCACTGTACTATACACCAAAGCTCAGTGTAATATCTTAAATCGTTTTCGAAATATTTAGAAAAACAGGTTTTTTTCAATTTTACATCTATCAGAAAGGAAGCATTTCCGGGCCCATAAAGTTATGAACTTATTTACTTATTTTGACATCATTTTATAAACAATGAAAAAGTAAAACAGTCTAATAATATGTCCCATCACCATCCGAATCAATAACGGCTTGTAATCTGTTTGGCATAGGTGTAACAAGGCGTCGTATATAATTCACGTCTATAGCGTTCCAAATATTTTGTATGTTCCCAGAGCATATCTCTATTTGGTCGAATATCGTCATACTGTTCATTCAACTGACGCATTACATATGCCCATAAATGTTTTTTTATAAGAAGTAATTTCCATTTTGTTCCATTCCAAAATATTGATTAGAACCCGAGTTATCACGGAAATATTATTTTTGGGGGTGAATATGAGGGTTAGTTTGCATCCGTTTAAATCCGTTTTAGGCTAAAAGAAAAAAAATTAGTCCTTATTAATATGTATTTACCTTTTTGAGATTAACGATGGATATTGAGCATACAATAATTTAAAGAAACGCACGCGCATTGACAATAGCGAACGAAATAATCTATCTTTGTCATAACCATACGGGTTACCCACAACTTCGGTACCATGAGTGCGATAATGCGAACGTGATTTTTTATGAGCTAAATAAAATTCAAAATATAAAAAGGTAAATAAATTTGTATCTGTCTAAAAAACGAACGTAAAAAAAAATCGAAAGCAACTTTTCATTATGTTAAATAATCAATCGAATAGTATAGAAAAAAAATTGTTTTAGTTTTGTTACATCATTAAAATTAATGATTAAAAATTTGAAATTGTTATAACTTTCTTATTAAAAATTAAAAATTATATCTATTTCTGTAAAAAGAAAAGTTACATTTTTTAGAGTAGATGGAAAAAAAAATTCATTAATTTTTCTGCTTGTTATGATTTTTTTTAAATTTCTGAAATCTTCCCTTAACTTCTAGCCTCCCTAACTTTGTTAATTTTAATAGTACAAGAAAAAGTCAAGAGGCCATTTCTATGTAGAATTGTATGCTTTACAACTAAGAAATTCAACCGATTTCATTGCGGGCACCTACGCAGTGTTCATTAATGGCGTAAATTAAGTAAATTTTGTTACACACACGTATTCTCTTAAGGGCCCGTTTCCGAGCTGCTGGGTTTTCAAAATTAAAAAAAAAATTTAAATTTTTAATTTTCTTAAATTCATTCAATGTAACTATTCATAAGTAGGTAGTACCTAGATGTTTCGCAAGATTTATTAACTAGGATGAATCGATTTTTCTATTGTAATATAAATGCAACTCTTTTAATAGAAAGAAGATAATAAAAAATGCGTACGGGGTCTGCTATAAGAGTTTGCCGATTAGTCCCATTTTAAAAATGCCAATCTACCAGGAAAGCATTTTTGTACAAAACTCGTAAAATGTCAGATGTGACAAGCGGTTAAGTCGTCATATTTCAAACAAAATACGATTCAGATTGGAAACTTTTATCTTGTGTCTAGTGTACATTATTTATGCAAAGAGGAAAATTAAGTTCTCAGATTGGTCTGCATCTGTATTACTCACAATACAATTGTGGACACCTATGCTATAATACGAGGTCTGTTCAGAAAATATCCGAACTTTTATATAACCTCCTCTGTAACCACACGTGTCTTGGATTGTTGATATCTCATTTACTTTTTTGTGATACCGTTATTTGAGTGCAACTTTGCAATTTCAGTCTAAAACTTTAATAAATTATCCAACATTTAATGTATACTTTAATAAAAATATTTTTTTAAATGAACTTGAATGAAAACGGACAAATTAATTTGATATAACATTGTTAGAAACTAAATTTATGTACACTGAACTTTTCGAATGCCCATCACTCAAGATTAATAGGTCAAATAAATTTTACCAAAATGGAAATTGAAGATGTTTTAATCTACTTTCTGAAAAAAATTGTATTTTTTAATAGTCAGATGAGGAAAAATAGTGGCATTCGAAAAAATCGAAAAAAATTGAAAAAACCGAGGTTTAAACACTCCCTGAGAGCAGCCTAATAAATCGAGCGCATTTTCGATATTTTTGCCTAAGAGGTAATCCCTTTACCTTCAAAATACCGGTTCCTAAACCTTTTTATCTTTTTTCTATCCAGAGTTTTATGATTTTGACACTAAAGTAGTTCCAATCGTTCATAGTGCGGCGTGGAACAAATTCGATACTTTTAAGGAGCTTTTCCTATTTCCAAACAAGATAAAAAAATGTAGTTTAGATGTCATAACCCCAGTTTTCGAGAAAATTTGAATTGGAAAAAACACCACTCGATATCTTGATTTATTTAAGAAATTCTGAAATTTTTTCAATTTTCATCATTTCCTACACCCTATAACTTTTTGGTTTTCGGAAATATATGATTCTCTCCAAAATTGTTTACTTAGTATCCGGTGGCGCATGCGATATTTTCTATAATTTTAATGAATACTCAAAAGGTACATTTTTTTAAATAGGATTTCGTTTTTCAAGATGTAAACACCAAGAATTATTGTTTTGTAAATTAACTTTTTATACAGACATATATAATTTTTGATTTGTATTATGATTGAAGAATCAGAAATTATGAGAAAAATATCGCATGCGCTGCGGGATTTTGCGCTACAAACATTTAATATTTTCATCAATAGAAAATATAAAATCTCATAGAAAACGACCAAAAGGGACCTGAATCTCTGAAACGAATTGAGATGTGGTTTTTAAAAAAGTACAATTATATGAAAAAATGTATTTATTCTTATATAACTTATAAACAAATTTTCGAAGATTTGTTGCAATCACACTTACACTACTATTTCTATGTCACTAGCATTCACTAACTTATTTAATCTGTCAATCACATACGAAATCGTCTTCGGCCTCTTGTATTCACAAATGAAATAAAGCTTCCCGGCACAGTTCTGGTCACCCCAAAAGAGATCACGCTTCTTGGGTATTTTTATTCTGTTCACCTCAAGGCATTTTTCCACTTTACCAACGTTGTTTGGTTCCCCAACTGCCCAGTTTGTAAAATCAATGCGGGAACCTGTTGTCAGCCAGATCCAATGTTCCTCATCAGGCAATCTTGTACCTGACGTCCAGAATATGTCACTTGCTGAAGTGAAACCTATAGACAAAGTCAAAAGATGAAAATAAATATAATTGGGGGTATAAATAGATCTAGTTTAAATCATTGTTTTTAAATTTTTATCACATTGTTATCGTTCTGTTATCATTGCGATTTAAACATTTTTTTAATGTTTTCTACGACCTGTGCTAACTTAATGAGGCAATCTTTTCGCGCTATAACAAATTTATTTGCACATTATTGCAAATATTCTTCTAATAATTTGACAAATTTTGCGTTACATGATACTGAGACATAACTGTCACGATCTATTTTTGTTTTGAATATTTCTTATTATGTGGCATGCATTTTTTAACGTTTTTTTTAAATAAATAATATGAAAAAGATTGTACTTTGCAAATTATTAGAAATAAAACTAACTGCAAAACTGTTCAGCTTCGAAAAAGTTTAGCTGGAAAATAACAAATATATTATCTTAACAAAATCAAGAGAAAAAATATATTTGCTCATGTTAAACGTAACGTAGGGTTCCATAAAAAAATCAAATTAATCATGATAAAAAACTTTACATTGCTTATAATGAATAATAGTGAAAAATCACATGTAATCATGTATCAGAGATATTTGATTTTCGAGAGTAACGCAAAAGGCAATTTTTTTCAAAAACATCTGATAATACTGAAACAGTACAATAGTAAACTAGATCTTAAATTTAATGAGGAATTTAAAAATATATAGGCTGTTCCATTTGAAAAAATGTAGTTTCCGGAAATCATGAGACCCTGTATAACTGAAAATAATTTTAAATTAGTTTCATAAAACTTTTTCATATTTTATTATTGATTTTACTAGAGCTATAAAGAATCCGTCTTAATTGAGAAACACTATATAACATACCGTGATCGATGAGACTTTGTCCTAAGAAAACATTTTCATCGTTCGACGTTATACTTAATAATCTCATACCATGGTAGCTGCAAAACTGTTCAGCTTCGAAAAAGTTTAGCTGAAAAATAACAAATATATTATCAGTTTAGCTGGAAATTAACAAATATATTATCTTTTTAATTTTGCAAATATTTTTAGTAACAAACCTTTACTATAGATCCAATGTAATAGCTTTTGTCATTGAAATGAAATAGAAGTGGCATTGCAGGGACTGCGCTTTCTTCTACGACATCAGCTGTTAAAATTAAATCTGTAAACAGTGGACACAATTAGTAAAACACCCTATAAAGTACATTTATAGATTTAAGAGGATAACAGAATGGACCTAACAGTACCACTCATCATAAAATTTAGTTGTCAGTAAGTCTAGTGCCTAGATTTAAGAGAATAACAGAATGGACTTAACAGTACCACTCATCATAAAATTTAGTTGTCAGTAAGTCTAGTGCCTAGAGACTGTACTTTGTATAATCATTTTCATTTCAGTAATTTCAAGTAAAATGTTTCTTATGCGATAATAGATAGGACCAGGAACACAGAAGAAGGAAACTGAAGAAGACACTTATCTGTAAATACTAAAGATGAGATTCTTGCAGTTATTTCAATAGTTCATGAGAATTAAAAACACAGAAGATGAAAAGCAAAGACGACACTTATCTTTAAATGCTAAGATTTTCAAAAATGTAGATAACTCTCGTTAAGTGTGATACCTAAGTGTTGAAGAAAGGAGCAAATTAACAAAAATTTTAATGAACGACGGTGGAAAGTGAAATGAAAACAAAAAAAGATTTTGCTAACATAAAAAAATTAAATGAGAGCGATGAAAATTTAATCGGGCGTAAAATTTATAAAATGTATTAACCACACTAGATAATTAGAAAACTTGAAGTAGGTGATACTGAAAATACTGTGGTAGACAAATATGTGAAAATAGTCAGGAAATGGTAGTACAATTATTGCTTAAATTTAAATAAGAAAAAGCTCTGCACTTACCCTTTATCCAATTTGTGTCATTCATTATAGGAACAGGTAACCCACTTCCAAACAAAAATAAGAAGCACAATACCCAGCTTCCCATCCCTGACATTTTAATTTCTAAATTAATTGTTTTACTTCAGTCAATTATAATATATATAGGCATTTTTATCTTATAAGACATTGTTTGTAAACGATTATCATATTGGACTAGGGGAAAGACACAAAATGTTTGTTAAACTTTAGTGCATAACTTGTCGACTGGTATTTTCCGAATATTATACATGATGCACATCATCATTTACCCTTATCTTTTTGGGTCATAGGTTAGGAATACAATTTATAGGAATTTCTTAATCAGAGTTTACGATTCTGAATGTACGCAGAACAGAACGAACGAACGAACTTAAGCATATATTGGAATTTAAGACACGTTCTCCTTCCCTGGAAAAAGATTATGTTGAAACGAAAATGAATCATATTTTATATTTCTTAAAATTAGTAATATGTAGTATACGTAAAATTAGTTTGTAAACATAAGAAACAATGTTAATACGCCTAAACAGTGTCGGAATGGCTATTTTAGGGTCTCTCAGAGAATTTCGTGGAAGGCCTCTCATTGTATTTTAACAATGCTTAAACGGCCCGAACGGAAATTCGATAATATTCGAAAATATTCAGGATTTGTGTGCGGTATGCCAGCTAGGCTAACGGTTAACTCTATAAACTATTTTACAATTCATTTGTCAGTAGGATCGCTGCCTTATGAGATACTCTATTTAAAATATATAATTATAAAATATGGTCATCGTACCTAATTATACTTATTGTTTATCATGTTTCGTTGGAATTCCTCAAAATATCTAATATTGAAGTGATAAGAAACGATCAGAAATGTTGTAGATGATTTTATATTTAGAACATAGTAATATTACACTAAGTAAATTAAGAAGCATGCCTACATACCTGCTTATAAACTGATCTTTATGTAAAATTACATATTATCATTTTGGTGTCACAGTGGTAGGTACAAGTAAAATTACGTTACGCATGTAATTTTACACCTTCTGTATAATTCACCCAAAATATAAATTTACATTATCGATATATACGACACCTAAAGTGTTATTATATTAATTGTAAGAATCAGAAAAACTACTATTTTAAGAAGAAAAAAATCTAGATATTATTATCTCGTAATATTTTTAGAAAATTTTTTTCTTTACATACCTATTTAAATATTTTTCCAAGAGAGGTTTCGTCCGACTTGAAGGAAAAATAACATAGCATGAACTTAAGAAGATTTATTAATACATTGAATGAACACAATATTCTTTAGAGTAAAATATAATTTTCAGAATTATACCTAAAGATAAGTAATACAGAATATTATTTAAAACAATTAATTAAACAGCTTTCTTAAAATAACAGTACAATGAAAAACTAAAAATATATATAAAATAATCTCTGTAAAGAACCTTCGTACTTGTTTAAAGGACGAAGTATATATCGAGCGTTCAAATAAAAACGTGGTCAAGTTGGTTCTGAAAATTTGGACGTAGGGCGTAGCGTATAGCAAATGCACTTAAACGTCATCTGTCAAAGCGCTATATCGCCGCTATCAATTTGAATATTTTCGTTTTAAAAAGCGTTTAAAATGGTGTTTTCTCAAGAACAAAACGTGTTTATCATAGTCCTACTTTAGAAATGGACGCAAGATTGATGGAATATGGAAGTATTCTATTGAGGAATGTTTCATAGAATTTCAAAATCAATTTCCCGGCGTTGTTGAGTACAAAATTTTTCAAAGTGCAGTTCAGCGTTGTGTTAATGTTTTTCGTGAAACGGGCAGTGTAACAAGAAAAGAAGGAAGCGGCCGACCTAAAAAGCGGACTGAAGAATTAAAAGAAAATGTCCAACAAATAATGGAAAATGCGCCAAGAACTTCTGTACGTGTGTGTTCTATCACAAATGGTGGGAGTATCAGTCGGTACCTGCCACACAGTGTTAAAAAAAGATTTGCATTTGTTCTCCTATCGTTTAACTTGTCAGCAAGAACTTCATGAAGTTGATTTTCCGCGACGGGCTGTATTTTGTGAATGGTTTTTAAACAACTACGGTGAACTTCATAATATCACCTTTTTTTCTGATGAAGCCTGGTTTCATTTCACTTTCCGCAGCTCCTTTAATTGTTTGTTATTGTTATCACGATTATTTTTTAAAATAAAGTTATATAGTCATTAACGTTATTGAAACTGACAGCTGCTATACAGCTCGTTGAGAAATGAGGTTAAGTTGGTCGCTATAAGCTACTCCCTACGTCCAATGTGTCAGAGCCAACTTCGACCACGTTTTTATTTGAACGCTCGTTATTTAATTTTACACACCTTTTTTATTGACGTCTTTGCCCTTCGACGTTTAAATAAAAAAATGAGCTACCAAAGGCGTTTTCAGACCCTAAAAACCGTATAAAGCTTGCATTAATCTTAGACTTCTTGCTATACTTAGCTATGAGGGCTAATTAAATAAACAACATGTACAGGGTGAGTCAACGTTGTGGCAAAGTTGATTAATCGTTAAATTATAATTGAGGCGAAATATTTCAAAAAAAAGGTTGGGGGGGGGTCAAGAAATGCACATTTTAGAAATAATTTGACTTATACAGGGTGATTTGTTTTCGGAGGGCTGACTAAAGTTGTATTTTTTAATTGGAACACCCTGTATTTGAGTGGATACTCGTTTTTTGAGATACAATTTAAGGAATCATCACACTTGTACTAGGTTCACCGTAAATTCTGAAGTGGTTAGTGTTTATAAATGTCATACAGGGTGTTCACAAATTCGTACCAAATAATATCTTTTTCGTAGGCAAATATTTTGTTTTTTTCAAATGGTACACTGTATTTTTTGAGGGGATGTGAACGACCTTCTCAAAATGTACAATTTTCATAATAGGTATTCTATAGGTTCCTCATATTTCATGACATTTTTCGCAATTTCTTAATTTTTAATTTTTTACCATAAATAGCGTCGATGTATTAGGGCTAAAGCGTTGAAACAAAAGAGCATTGCTTAAAATGTATCTTTTTTTTGCAGAAAAGAACAATGATCCTAAATGATGCCGCTTTCTCGTTCTTATTGAAATTTTAGTGAATGAGACATCATACAGTAAGAAAAATTCTGACCAATTTTTATCCACTAAGAGAACATTTTGTTCCTGTTTCTTTTTAAGTATCAACTTTTGGACTAGGGTAAGCTTGGCTATATCGCATTATATTTTCTTCAGGAATCTACTCTCGCTCTCTGTCTTATTAATTTTGGAAAACCTTGTATAATACAGGATGGTATACGGTGTACGTGTAATAAAAATAAGTTAATTCCTACAGATTGTTCAAAAGATATATTCAAAATTACTTCTATTGAACGTTCATGGGTAAGTTTATCTATGTTTGATCTATAATTTTTTTAGTGATCATTCCATATTGATTAACGTTGCCCCATTCTGCCATTACAGTCGTACGCTTCATCCTGAAATACCCCGTATAAAGCTCACGAGGCATCGCAGAGCTTTAAATCATGTTAACTTCAGGCCAATTGCGTCTTCAAGTTTCCCTTTTAAAGATTTACCGCGTAAATAGTCGTCAAAATATATTCGTCCTATGGCAACAAATAAGATTGTATCTGACAAATAATAGGCTGGTCTTTATGCGGCGTTAAAAAGATTTATGACATCGTTCCTTGCTTTGGCAAGTGCGAATTTTCCCATATTTATTACGCAGGATAATATAGCCAACCTTTCTAAATACCACTCGAATACAGCAGAATGTGTAAGGCCGAACAATCCATCATTTGATTGTTCGTTGAGGAGAGCCGTGCTCCCTGAAAAGTGGACTGATCCATAACTATTATTACTTCGAATATGAACAAATTTATGAAAAGTACTTGAAATGCAAGTCGAAATCTACGTAATGTTCAAACATTGGCTCCCTATAGTCGTTCGGATTCGGCAATTTTAGGTTTGCGGAGAATCCTCTTGGAAAGCGTCTTATTTTAACACCATCTACGTCATTGACACGTTTTCTGTTAACATATATGTCCCCGGATGCGGTACCACACCCTTGTAAAAATTTTTATTGCTGATTTTTCCAGAAAAAATTATTCTTGATAAAAGCTTTTGCTTATCTTGGGAATCCATGGGCAGTAACCAAATGTGTAATAAAACCTACAGTGCGTCCAAAAAATTTCAAAACGTAAAATTGCCTTTAATTTTTGTTTTCGTTAAAAACTGTGTTTGATAAAGTTGTTCCAGAATTCAAGAAAAGCTTAAACACGGGGTTTAGTCAAAAAAGAAGAAGAATCACATTTTGCAAATAATAAGACGCCGCAATTTTTAATTATCTTACATACCATATAATTACCAAGGAATTTTTCTTTATTATAAGACTATTATTACAATGTTTTTAAGAAGGTAAGAGGATTTTACAGTAGAAGTGGAAGTTGCTATGGACAACGGCAGGTAAGTGAGGTAACTTACCTAGGGAAAAAGTCTCAAAATGATTTCACTGCTCCATTTCAGTCACCTTAGGCTCAATATTATCTGACTGATCCATTAAAACAGCATGATGCGACGAACTACTAGAACCTGGAGTTGACGTATTATTGTAAAGAATCCTGTTGGCTATTTTATATTTGTGACTTAAAGTGTCAGCAACATAACTTTCTACAATTGTGGTAGTCCACTCACCATGCCTCTTGATTGCTAATACTCCTATATTAGCCAGTAACGTTGCCGATGTTCTTCGGAATGAATGGCCTGTATATGTTTCAGGATGTTCTAGTTTCAAAAACTGTGCAATCTTATTAGGAATCATAGAAAGGGCCGACTGGTTGGTTTTAATTGGTTTAATTTTGATCTCAGTTTTAATTTCCTATTTAATCTTGATACATTTCTTGAGAATTTCTAGGTGATCCAGACGAGAAGTAATTGTAAACGTACGTGACATACCATTTTTAGAATCTGGAATTGTAACTACAATAATATCATCGAAATTTTTTAAATTGACGTTGGCCAAACTAAGTTTGCATAATTAATCAGAACGGCATGATCCTGCAATGCCTAAGACCGTCACTACCTTCATTAGCAAATATATGTTACCGGATGCCTGAAAGAGAAAATCGTTGACTTGTACTTGTATAAACGTTTGACTTTTTAGGTGTATAGCCGTCATATCATTATTACGTTGCAA